TGTAATTTTCTCAGGCTTTCTAGAAAAATATTGCTGAGGGCTTAGAGAATATTGGCTGAGAATTAAGACAGGCATTCTTAAGAAAGGCATTCTTAAACTTACACTCACAGCCTCAAGGTGGAGGAGACAATGTCTGAAAATGTTGGAAGGATATTTTCCAGCAGTTACTCTGTATAATGATAAGATATATATGTTAAACATACAATTTTAAGAAAATGTATAGCATTTCCTCAGGGGGTTAATTTTCCACAATCATACCAATAAAAAAACCCAAAGTCCTTGGAAGGTGTGAACTTCTGCCTGAATGTGGAGTGAGGCAATGAATGACTATATATATTTTCCCAGCTCTGCCTCAACCCAGTGCATGCAGAGGGGGTAAGACACTGCATGAGAAAAATTAGTATTACATAAAATGACAAAAAAAATCTTTCACAAATGTTACCAGAGAGGGAAAATGAAACAAAAAATTACTTTGCCTTTGTGCAAAGTTAACAAATTTTACTGTACAGCACAGAACTGTTGGAAAAGATATAGTTTTAGTGAATAATGTCATCCTATTAATCTGTTTGATTAAAAATGCTTCTTCATCATATTGATTATTTAGTTACTATTATAGCAGAAAGGAGATTATTATGAGGTGTTAAGAGGTGAATATTTTTCAAAACCAGTTCAACTTTGCCCAGGAAACTGGTTTATATAAAATATATTATTTGGTTGGTCCATGTTAGAACAATATTCTGGTAATGCTTTCTTTTAAACCTTCAGTGTCCCTGGCTTTGAGCAGGGAGGCTGACCTTCTTTGAGAATGTGACCTTCATTGATGACTGTGCCATTAGCTTCCTTACTGAACTGCCACTGTTTTGGGGGGTTTGACAAGTCAAAAGGATTTTCATGCAGAAAAAAACAAACCCACAACCAAACCATCAACCCATCCCCTCACTTCCCTGAATACAGGGTCAATGAAAAGGTCACCTGAATAAGAAACTTCCTGATCCTGCAGCAGGTGAGGATAGAAACTGAACTGGAGGGCTAGGGCAAAATGAAAAAACAGGGACAGGCTTTCAAAATCCACGTACCTTATAGCACTGAGTGAAACAGTTGAGCTAGCTGACTTGGTAGGTCAGATAAGGTTTAAAGTAATCTGATCCTGAACTATTTGGTCTTCTCCTTGGGCCCGTAATTAACTTTTCATTGCAGTCAGTGAAGCTGCAGAGATGAGAAATCTGGTTAAACTTAAAAACAGCTGCCAGATGTTTTTTGGGGGAAGAAGGGGAGAGAAGCATGGAATGCAAAGACTGAGAAAAATAATTATTTGGAGACTGGGCAGAAGTCTCCATGACTACTTCTTGTGGTTTAACTTTTGGCAAGTGTTCCGCACCTTGCTGTTTGAGAGAATCAGCTTGTTCCTGATTCTGCACCGTGCTTTTCATTTTTCATTCTGCTTCCTTATGTCCTGGTGTCAGCAGCATCACTCATACCATGCAAGAAGAAAGACTGAGAGGGTCCTGAGCTCCCTTATGGAACAATGGTCTTATATCACTTTACCAGTGGTTTAATAATCTTTAGGATTCTTCCATTTCTGTTCTGGTAGGTGAGTTGTTCTGCTGCTGAACAGAAGGGAATAGAGATATTTCAGGTTTATAGAAGAACTTCTGAGTACAAGGTTGCATAAGTTTATAGAAATATTAGAAAAGGTATGGAGAGCCCTGAGGGCCACACATGCATTTGTAAAACAAAAATTTATGAATGGAGAGGAAGGCAGAAATTGACAGTAAAGAATGGCAGAAAGTGTAATTTAATTGAAATACAATATAAAATCTTATTTGAGTTAAATATGACTTACATCAGGCTTTATTAAAATGCTATTGATCACTCCATTAAGTGTTAGAATGAATAAAGATGATTGTTCCCAGTAACCAAGAATGTGGTGTTGAATTGCATTTTATCAGCATATCCATTTTATCAGCATATGTCACACTGAGAAGGGTTTTCAAGTGCTAGCAACCCCTCTGGGAGATTAATGCTTTCTTTCCAAGATTCTGGAAATTGAATGACCATTCACATCTTTCTGGTCATTAGCCAAAGACTAGAAATTAGGAAACCTCTCTATGTGCAGCTCAAGCAGGAGTGGCTGCAAAAGATTTAGGTGTCACACCTTTCCTTATTTATTTATTTATTTATTTAAGCTGAAATAGAAATTTTAATAAAAATCTTTGCTGGAGACTGCAGACAAGAATGGCAGTCATGGCTGGAGAGATGGGGCACCAGAAAGCTGCAGGACAACAGGCCATGTCAGTAGAGGGACTTGGGATAAAATTATTTGGGGGAAAAAGAAACTGTTCTCTTAATTTTCCTAACTAGGAAGCAAATTGTAAAAATAATTTAATCACCAGTGATAAAAAGCGATGGCTGCCAACAGAGATGTCTTGGTGTTGTACAGAATGTTTGTTTTAGCACAGCATGTTGCTTGCAGAAGGATGTTTTGGTAATTAATCCTTAAAGTTATAGGAAGTTTGTAATGCACTCTTTTTACAACTAAATTGAATGATTCAAGACAGTAGTTATTGTCTAAGTAAAAAATAGCAGGATCAGGCTGTTATATTCTGCCAGTCATCAGATGTCATGAGCTTTCTTAATTATAAGACAAAATTTGTTCTGAACAAAACAAAAACATGGAAAATCTCCACAAACCACCTCTCCTCTCTGTTCATAGTCACTTCTCTGCAAATATTCAAAGTGGTTTAATACCAATAGGGAAGCTGTTGCCATATGCTGGGACTCTTGTCAGCTTAGATGAATTGGAAAAATGGGATAAAAGGATTTAATTAAGCTACTAAGAAGGGATATAGTCAAAGACTAGAAGTTGCATTCAGTTCAGATTTTGAGGAAGCAATGACACAAAGTCTGGTGTTGACTGAACTGATAAGAATTGGCTGGGCTCCACTGGCTCATGTCCCACCAAAAAATCTGGCCTCTATAGTTCCACTGTGCCCAGTTAGTCTGTCTCAGTCCACCTCATAATTAAAAAACTCACACACACCTCAAAAGAGACACTCATGCAGGTTCTCCTGTGTATCAGGTATGACGCAGTTGCAAAAAGCAGAGTTTCATGACTGAGGAAGGCAGGAATTTATTCCCCATGTCCCTTATACCTTCTCTAATGTTGATTTTTTTTAACAGCGAATCTTACATTGCATGATTCTTATGATAGGAAGGGGGACAAAAGGCCTCAGGTCCTGCTAGAACTGGAGGAAAGTTTTTTGGTTCTCCCATATCTTGTGTGGGAGATACAGCAGAGCTCAAGTCAACTCATTTACCCTATCTTCAGAGGAAATATTTACATTTTTATTGAACTGGAGGGTCAGGGGTCTTCAGTTTTACAAACTCACTCTTACAGCTAATGTTAATGAATTTCACCAACACTTGTCCTAGAAAAATAAAAGCAAATACATTTTTCAAAAGTAGTAAAAAGATTAAAATATTAATATATCTTAGAAGGAAATAGGTGCATAATATCAAAATATTTGAGCTCTGCTAGTGCTGGATTTTGTGCATTTTATACTGCACTAGCCATAGAATACAATTTGGTTGTGCAACTGTATGTTATTAAAACTATCTTAAGCATTTAGTAAATTGTCACAATTTCAATATTCTTTTGTTAAAATGCAAACATGCAGGGATTTAAGATTCAAAATCAAGGCTTTCAGAATTCCAAGAATAATTCAGAGTCCATCTCTTTCAGGAACAGAGAAAAGATTGAGATTGTGATTGAAAATACAAAAATACTCATTTCTTCACTTAGGTCCTCAGAGTCTTTTCTTGTTCAGATCTTGTCTTCTCTCACAGCATTTTAGTGGCCAGTGTTGATAACAAACACTGGCGTCCAGGAGCTTTTGAAGCTTTGGTGCCAAGAAGTGAGCACAAGTGATCAGCACCTATGTCTTGAAAGTACACTTGTAGATGACTATATTTATATATGTACACACATATATCAATCAAAACACAGGAAAAAAACATACCAAGTTAAGCAGAGCTCATCAGTGTCTTATTTGTTCCTGTGCCTTTCTCCTCCTCTATTTCCAGCAGTCCAGGGCACCATCGCAGCTGGGACTGAGCAGGTGCAGGGAGCAATTATCCTATTTCCAGAGCTAATTGTGGGCTTCAATTAGCAAAATCAACTTACTGGGGTAAAGAAACTCGTTGCTGTTGATTCTTAGGCAAGGAATAAGATCTTTTCATGTCACCCCCCATGACTAATCTATTTATTTATTTATGATGAGGCATCAATGGTCAGTGTAATTCTCTTATCTAGCACAACGCAAAGGAGACCATGCACAGGGAGACATCAATACAAACCAGTGGGTTGCAGATGAACAAGCTTCTTTATAGTGGTATTCTTATGGTTGCATTTGTAAAAGATTCATTGACATCTGCACCAGAACTGAACTCCTCTCCCTGCAAAAACCCAAAATCCTGCTAGCAGGTGTTCAGGAGATGTTTCCAATGCAAAATAAATAAATAAATACTCAGGCAAAAATACCTTATATGAAAAAGTCTAGCCAAGCTACATTGTTTCAAAAGGCCTGTTCAAACCAAGATACTTTACCTTTTAATACCTATCTATTTATGCATGCATTCAGGGAACCCACCAACTAATTGGAATAATATTTGTAAGTCTACTGATTATTATGTACTACATTGTAAACTCCAACATTTTGCAGTTCTCAAGCTGACATGCAGAGCAAGTTAGAAATAAATCCTTCATCCTTACATCTTCCTTGTGCTCTAACAGTTTTATTTCTTCCAAGTGTTTTTGACTTTTATAAATTCAGGCACATGGCATGATTCTTGAGGTGCCAGGGACAGGAGTTGGACTAGATGATCCTGATGGGTCCCTTCCAACTCGGCATATTCTATGACATATAAAATAAAAAAAAAAAATTAAAAAAATAAAAATCCCAGTCTAAGTTCCCCCAAAGCCAAAACAAACTCCCCTGTGCCAATAAAACTGCACATTGAAGGGGAAGGGGGTGAAATCTGGGCTACAAAGCTATTTTTGTTCCAGCTACATCAGCTTTATCTAATTTCATATTTGTTCTGTGACCATTTGAAAATCAATTTCAGGTACTTCTGTATCATATCAGAATAGGATGCATCATTAACTCTAAGAGGATGTTTTCCATTGGCATCTGTTATTTTCAACAAATGTCAAGGTTTGACATTTGCTATCTTTATCTGGTTTTGGTGTATCACTCATACTGAGATTTTGTTTCTTATCTGATATTGATTTCAACTGTGACCAGCTGTGTTGCTAATAAAATCAACAGGCAAGTATCTGGCATTTAGTTCTTCATTGGTAGAGGAAAAGAAACAACCCAGTGACAAACAAAAATAAAGAGATACTTTTCACTGTGATGCTTTCCTGTGTTCTCCTATTATCCATCTCTTAGCACTTCTGATGATGTAGCATTTCTGATTGATTCCCTTGGGGAAGAGTCCATGGAAATCCTTGTCTCTCAGATGAAATACTCCTTTTTGCTCTCATCCACAGCTTCCTGGAGAGCAGGGTCATTTTTCAAAGCAGCATCTGCACTTTCGGCAAACTCGGTTCCTTTTGCCTCATTGGTGTGGTAGGTGCCCTTATGCCTGTACATGTACCGAACCATCACCACCAGCAGGCAAATGAGGACAAATACCACCGCAGCAATCACACCTGGAGGAAAGAGACCACCTAAATGTATTGTCAATAATAAAATAGGAGCAGTATGTCACAGCCAGGCACCACAACTTGAATTACTTGACAGAGAAAATTCCATGCATTGTAAGATGCTCACTCATTGCAGCATCCAGGGTCAGAAAGGAGTCTGACACTGCAAAAAACCTGATGGGATATAGATACTGCAGGAATACAGGTCAAAGTCTCAATAGATTTCTTTCAAATCATGGCTTGATTTGGTTGAACTCATTTGAGCTAAAAATTCATTACAAAATGAGGAGTAATATGAGAACATAAAGGAAACCCAACAGGTTTTGCTCATCCTTCTGGTAACACCTACCCAGGGGAAGTTGCAGGAAACCCAACCCTGCCTCCAAGAGTGTACTCAATTGCAGGGTGAAAAGCCAGGGCACTGACTGTTTCTTTGGAGACATTCTACAAAGAGTTGGAGCTGTGGAACTGCAGGACTGCTCTGTATTTGCAAGGTGCCATTTCATGCTGTGCTCTAATTAAGAAAACCTGATTGTAATGAGTGTGAAAATGACACCTGGGAGGAAGAAGGAATTCTGGGTCTCCTGAACTAAGGCTAATTACTAGCAATGTGCTGACTGGACAAGTATTTCTGTAGGTAACCCAAATGTGCATAGGACTAAATGGTGCATGGAAGCACTTCTAGTGAAGGAAAGTAAACTCAAGGTCCAGGGCTGCTTGCGCACTGTGTCCTTGCTTCTCAGAGCCCTTTCCTTTTTTCCTTTTCCACCACAAAACTTAGAAGTCCTGAGAGTTACACTTGACAAGTCCATTGTTAAAATATTATCCCTTTCCCTCCAGATGAAATTTTTCACTTAAGAATTCTGAAAACAAATGAAGCATTTATAAATTTATACAGCACTGAGATGTGCTTTTAAACTCTTTAGTGTGATTGTGTCAAGTGACACTGAACTGATTTTACATTCACATGACTACAGGAGTAAACCAAACCTTAAAGAAATATACAATAAAAAGCAGCAGAACAGGACGTTTGTAGGAAAATCCCATATGTAGAGTTTGAAGCTGCTGAGGATGCAATAGGTAAGAATTTATCTGAGTCATTGTAGGCATCTCCAGTTCAGGAGGCTTAATCTGAGTTACTCCCCTTGGGCTTCTCTACTGTCAGTAGACGGGGTGTGTGGGTGATTCCTCTCCTAGAACTGAATTCCTGCATTTTGTCAGATGAATTGCTCCCTGGAAATGCCTTCTATTCCACAGAGACAATTGAGGGCTGCATAGACAGTGTCTCTCTTCTGCCCCCTGTGTTCAAGATACATGGCAAGAGTGGGTATCTCCAAAGCTTTAAATTTATCAGCATCAGTAAACTTAGTGGGGATACCCTATTGGCACAGTAACGGGGGAATGGACAGAGTATTAGCAGAGTGAGTAAAAATTATAACTATTTCTGAAAAAGTATGCTTGTGATGTTATCCTGCAGATTTTATAATGGCTGGTTCTAGAAAGTGAAGCTACTGCTAGCAGAAATGAAATTGCTTATACAAAGAACTTTAGGTTTACAGTAATACCATCATTGCAGTGGGGGTTCATCAATTTTTAGGACCTCACTGGTATCCCTTGACACAAGAGGCTTTAATAGGCTTTGGATGTAGCACAATATTAATAACCCTAAGGGACTCAGTACAAATCAATTTACCTGCTACTCGTTCATAGGAAACTGAAATTAAAGTTACGAAAGATGGGACCTGAGGGAAATATAGCGGAACCTCACCAATTTGCACTAATGATTGGTATACCCCCTTGTGAATGACTGAAATTAGTGTGTTAGCATGGAAATGAACAAACACAATAAAAATAAAAAGACAGGTTCTCTCCGTGAACATAGCTTTGCTCATTTATTCTGACAAGTGTATTTAGTTTAAATGCATGAGAGAGCTTTAATGGAATGCCAGGAAATGCACTGTGGTGTATTTTGTAAAAATAAAGGGTCAGCTGGTCTGAGCTAGCATGGTTCAAATCAAAGGTGCCACATCAGTTCTGTATTAAACAACAATCTTGGCCTGGTGAATAGTAATTATCAAAGGTTGACTTTGCTGCTGGACTATTAGGTATTTTGTCCTAAAACTAGGAATGGGTGTGGGTGGCACTACTCATTATATGGTGTATGCTTATTATCTCACCTCGTTATCTTGCCAATAGCCCCTCTGAGAGCAGATTTCTCTCTGGTCTAATTAACTCTAATTGTGCCACTCCTGTTGTCTTCTCAGCAAAATAGGGGTTGTGCAAAATGCAAGAAATCAACCAACCCGCTGTTTTCATTCTAATGGTGCTACTTAGCATGGTCTGCTACCTACCTCCAATAACAGCCACATCTGTTCCAGCTGTCGGGCTCTCAATGTCTTCATCTATAAATAGATCAGAACATGCAAAAGTTAATTAAAGAAAAAGGAATCATATGTAACAGCAATTACTATACTGGTGGGGCTGTATTATTTTAACCTCTGAAACTCAGAACTTAAACAAGATCTCTCATTAGGATAAGACATTTATGAAATATCTCATTAGAACTGGCTATACTGTACAACTTTTCTGTTGCCGTAACACTGGAAAATAAAGAGTTAGCACATTATGCAAACTATCATGGCCCTCAGGGAAGCACCTACTTTTTATTATGAGCATTTACCTGCAACATCCTCCAGTGAATGATTAAATTAGGAGCATTCAGGTACTGTGATTATTCTCAGAAAGGTAGTTTTGAGGAAAAAATGTTGGTGATTATTTATTTTCCATTTTATGGCTCTTCAGAGTATGGATCTGGATTTGATGCAAATTATTCTGACTCTATTGATTTCAGTTAGTATTTACTTATCTGCAGTATCCTGTTTTTAATCTTTGTATTTATGTTCTTTTAAACCAACATTTGGAATCCAGGCAAGCCTGTTATATGAGTGGTATAAAACACAGTTGTCACTTAGAGTAAGGCTGAATTCGGTGCTGATAAATCAAATTAGATTCTTTGTCTGATTATAATTTATTTAAAAAGACAACTTTGCAATTTAAATTAAAATGAGAAATACCTGACCATGTCCTTTTAAGAACTAAAAAATTGGTTTGAAGAGTTGTAAGCTGCTGAAAGAGCTGTTAGAATTTGAATTACATTTTATCTTAATTGTAGCACTTACTAAAAATATCCCAAAAAACTAATGAATAGCCAAAGTGTTTTAAAGGGGAGAGGAAAAAAAAAAATCCTTTAAAATGGTGAGGATTTTTCTTTCCTTGTTATCTGATATAGAGCTCAAGTGAAAGTAAGTTCATATAGACAGTCATTTTTTCACTAGCTTCTATGCAGTTGATGAGGGTACAATTCTGGTCTTGTTTTCTTCTCTGTATTTCATGCCATTGGTATCAGCCAATTTAGACCTGAACTATGTGGATGTCTGAGAAGGTAAAAAACTCCTGGAGTTTTTCAATGCTAGGTTTATGACAGAACACTCCTTTCTTTATTCTTGTACTATTTACACAATTCTACATTATATTGGTTTTTGAACAAGACAAGTAGTTTTGTCCCTGCCTATGGTTGCAGGGTTGGAACTAGATGATCTTTAAGGTCCCTTCCAATCCAAACCATTCTGTGCTACTATGATTCTATGTGAGGCTTTTGCTTATTTCCTTTTGTTAAATACTATGGATAGAAAAGCTATCTGGAAAAGATAAAAATGCTAATTCCAAATTCTTCTATAAATTTAACAGTGGCACTGTGGCTGATGTCTGGCTCTACTTTTGCTAAATCTGTAATTGATGATGCAAGGATAAGATATTGCCAGTAGTTTTGTCCTTACTCCTGTCTGGTCTCATATAAAATTGCAGTAAATTGGAGAGAGCTGAGATATCTGAGATTCAGAGGATCCCCCTCTTCCCAAGCATGGGAGATGCTTTTTCTAGAAAGTTTTCCTCTCCCCCAGTGATACGTCCCACATTTTCTTCCAGATAGACACTGATGGAAAGATTGAGCACGTTTTGTGTAATTTCAAAACTCAAATTATGTCTATGTCCATTCAAAACCCATGTGCCTCAGAAGAGATTAATTGCTTCAAGGTTAAACTGTTCTCTATTTCTTTATACACCAGATATATGCTGCGTTCCAAAAAAGCAGGCTCTTCTACAGCAATCAAATACTTGAAGGTGTGAATTCTAAAGTGCTTCCCTAGCCACACAGCTTGCTTCCAAACATTAATTCCAGATCAAATCATTATCCTTTTAATTATAAAAAGGTATGCAAGTAACTCTCTGCTCTTTCCTGTCATTCCCAGGTGCCTCTCAGGTTCAGATAACAAGCAGGTGCCTTATCTCTAGTACTTGCCACCAAAGTGCTTTTTGATAATGCATTACAGTATCATCACTTTGCAGAAAAGTTTTCATTTCCATACTGTACTTTCTAAGTTTTCTTCTTCTTTCATTCTAAGAATGCTGGACCCGTCTTGAGCTATTGTGTGGCCCCCACCAATCTGTTAAGCTGATGAAGCTGTGCTGTTCAGTAACCAGTCAACACTGTGATGGGGCTTTGCTCACCACAGTTCCCATTTTACTGCAAGCATGAGAGCCTGGCTTCTTCCTTTGTGTGTTGACTTTTGACCACAGAAAGTACTTGTTGTCCTCCCAGATGGCACCTGTTGGCTTTTGCTGCACTATCTGGACTGCCAGGGCACTGTGGCTACCACCAATGTCCAGAAGCTTTCAGAGTCTGTTCCTCAGATCAGTTTTGGAGCCAGGATGATGAATGGGAGAGAAGGACCCTCAAGCCTGTCTCACAGGCCTTGAAATTTCACTTTGTCCAAAACCAGCTGTGTGATTTATGATTGCTAGGTGGGGGGGAGGCAAGATATTAGTGTCATTTAAGATTCAATCAGTATCACCCTTCACAAAACATAACTGAGAAAAACTCAAGGCATGTGCTCATGACATAAGGCCATCTTCCCAAAGCAGGGATGAGATAATGGCCACTATCCGGAAGGGAATCCCTGCTTGGCCAAAAACCTCGGTGTGTTCTTTTTAACTTCAGCTGTTTATGTGAGAAATACACTGCATTACTGTGGGACTGAATCTTCAGTTTCTGAGGCAGAAAGCTAACCAGTGTACTGGAGGAATTTTTAGCTGAGCAACAGCTGTAGGCTTTGGTCTTCTTGTCTTCTTCATTGTACTCTTTGAGTGCAGAGCACTCAGAAGTCTGTGTATATTACAGTTTGACTCAGGATCGACAACAATGCTCTCAATCGCCTCCCCTTCACACCCAGGTAGGGAAGGAGAGAGAGTAAGAGAGAGACTCTCTGGATTGAAAACTAAACTACACAGCTTTAATTAATGATAAAAGAAAATGTATACAATAATATACAAATGTGTTCAGGAATATGTAAATCCCTATTGCTTCTCCCTACCCCCAGCAACTCTCACAGGACTCTCCTTAGCTGCAAGAGTCCTGAAAAGTCCCAGAGAGCTGCTGGAGAGAGCTGCAGAGTTCTGAGGGTTGCTGTATCAAGAACTACCTTTGCACTTGTTTTGCTTATTTGCCTTTGTTTCAAGGACATCTTTTGTGCTATCTGCTCCTAAATTGTCCTTGCAGAACTTCCTCTCGCTGCTACACTGGCCCTTGTCCACAGTCACAATCTAGTCCTGAAAGTGTTTAGACAGCGTTATTCTGTAGTGCCACTGGTTCCCATGACATGCAGAAATAAAAAACTTGTGGGAAAACTCAGTTTTCATAAAATCTCTGGCCATCAGAATGAGTTGGCTAAATCAATAATAGGGCAAATCAAATTGCCTGTTTTTTGGAAAGTATGTTTCTAAAACAAGGGAAAGAAGGGGAAAAAAAAGTCTTTGTTCCATGACCTGAAATAAATCAAATTCCATTTCTGCCTATAAACTTACAGATAAGGAATTTCACAATACATTTACACAATACAATTACTACCTGTCTCACTCTCATCAATCAAATCATGCTGAGAAGGCAGCAACCTCTGAAGGCTCCAGGAATATTCCTGTCTTAAACACTGCAAGCAGATCTCTGGCTTTGCACTTCAAAGGTGAAAAGCCAGTACAACTAGCTTTTACATGAATGTAGCCAGTGGTGAGTTTTTTCCTGCTAAATTTGTCAGTAAATCTGTGAAATCATATCCTCCAGGTGTGATTTTCCAAGAAAACTTGACTTATATTAATTTTAATGTTTGATTTTTTTATTCTCTTGTTTAAAGTTATCCCGTTCTACTGTGGCTGAGGAGCACTTGTCTGAAGGAGGCAAGTCCAGCAGTGAAAACATTTGTTTGAGGTTCAGAACTCCTTGTTTTTCTACTTCTTCTGGCAGTCATAATGGTTTCTTTTGTTTATTTAATTCACAAGTCTGAGCCACTAAAAACAATGAGTCATTTCTGCTCAAAAAATGTGTCACTGGCTTTAAAATAATTTACAACTTTTTCTTTGTTTGCCCTTTTTTTCATACCTGAGCATCACTCAAGTCTTAACTTTCCAGCCCTCCTTTGCCATGACAAAATGTTTATGAATACTGAGGTTTTGGATGTTGTGACACTAGGAAACAGGTCTTTAAGAAAAATACAAAGCATTTTGAGAATCCTGATAAAGATGTAAGACTTAGCAGTGAGCTACTTAACCATGTTAAGACATGCAAACTGACAAGCCATTCAACTTATATGGTAACAGGAAGGGACATATTTGGTCCCAAAATACTTTCTCCCATCCAACATAGAAAGCACATATTTTAGATCCTGCTACTGGCAGAAAACAATACTTTAATGATCTTCTGTGGCTACTGTCAGTGAGACATGGGATAAACTTGCAAAGAGGTTCAGTCTTTCTCTTTCTAAGGCAACATTTTTGTCTGCTGAAGGAGTTTTCAGAAAAAACCCACAGTACTCTCACCCTTACTAGTTTTGCAGCCAGCACTGTAATTAGCAATTTAAGTACCTACATGTTTCCTTGTTATGGATTTACAAATAGAAAAAGCGTGAAGGGAAAACTGTACCTGCAAAGGGATCCCCATGTGGCACATTTGATATGAACGTGTGGGAAACATCCTATGGGAGAGATCTAATCTACTGATGCAAAATACCAAATCTCTGCTGTATAAACCACAAGGACAATTTGATGGTATAACATGGACCTTACCTCCAACTTCTCAATGTCCTTCTCATTTCCCATTTAGCTCCCAGCTAAAGCTGAACAAGTGCCTACTGCTAAGTAGTGTTGAATATAGAAAGAAAAGCCTAAGATTATGGCTCATGTTGGCATGATTTCCTTGCAGCTGTGGGTGATACTGCTGTTTTGGAGTCAGTGAGTCAAACTGAGTGAGTACAGAGATACCTATGTGTGATAAGCCGTTTTTACAATACAATTTCAA